TAATAATAATATAGTAGTGTAGTAGTAGTATATATATATATATATATATATATATATATATATATATTCGTTGCGATATTTGTAGTAGAGTAGTTGTTGAAGAAAAGAAACAATAAAGTGTTGCAATTACTATCTAACAATTATGAACGAGATATATATACATCAATACAAAGTTATCGAGTATAGAAATAGAAATATAAATGGGATCCCTTAATGCGTGTATGATTGTCACTCAAATTATACCTGTCAAAACTGCCTTTCTTCAGTGTTTGTGCGGCCAAGTATATATTGTTCATGACCTGCTGCTTTTTTATCCTACGCGCCAACCACTGTTGATCTTTTTGAGTGAACTCGCCACCGTTTGCAACGTCTTGCTTCTTCGCAACAATTTCCGCTGCCATAGTATCGATTCGCTCCCCATATGTGTCCGCATAGGTACTCGCTAGGTCAAAATCAACAAGTGGAAAGGAGCGCAAAGTGCTCATAACCTTCTCATCGAAGTTCATTTGATCTACGTACGGGTGCGAAGGCTTGTCCCCTACATAGAGACTCACACATTCGCCGTAACCACCTAATCTCTCCAGAACACCAGCCGTCACAAGCCCCTTGCATGATTCCAACAAGAGTACGCGAGAGCCTGCATGTACATTAGCTTGTGTAAGTACTTGCGCGAGTGAATCAGACCTTATATTTTGTATCCTTTCAGGATTAAATTGGTATGTAGTATCACACAGTAATGGCAAAGTAGGTCTTCTTAGTGAGAATGTATTCGCCAGATGCCGTTTTTGCTTCTTCATAATATATTTGGCCTGGGAGAACTCTGTGCGATTTTCGAAACTCCCACTATTCTCCACCAACAACTTAATCATATCCTCGCCACTTACGCCCTCCTTCTTCAGCCGTGTGATCTCCTCATATGATAGTTTCTGTGAATCATAATCTTGCTGAATACTTCTGTGATCTTTACCACTGTGTTCTTCTGTAGACTCTCCTAGCACATCGACATACCGTGATTCCACCACGCCGTCCTCGGCGATCTCGTAGTGTTTTCCGTAATAACATCCCTCGAGCGCCGACACCTTCACAAAGTGCTTGAACCAGCGAATTTTCGCCGCATTTTTCGTCACCTGAACCACCTTGTAGTTGTTTTTTGCCCCCGCGCACAGAATAACATAGTCACCCTCTTTAATTATGTGTGGATTGTTCTCCGCTACTAACTCCTCGACAGCTACCTCGGCTTTCACTCCAGCTTTCGTCACTTCTACAACGCCATCTCTATTTTCCTGAGAGTCCCCGATTGAAGCGCCTTTATTGCTAATACCATCCATGGGCTCACTAGTCGACATAGCGCATAAACGAATGCACCTACTGCTCTGCAAGCAGAAGGTGGAATGGCCAAGGGAATATTAACGTGACATTGGAATCCGGCACGTGGAAATCTGCTATTCTGCATCGCCTTCTGCCGTTCTCCGTACGGGAGACCGAACTTCAAAAATTACAAGTGAAATTATATTATTTTACATATTCGTTGGCACTTTTGGTGTCAATTTGAATTTAAAATATAAATATATATATATTTATGTACATATGGGCTTGTCGCGAGTCGAGAGTCGAGAGTCGAGAGTGACGAGACTCGAAGTCGAGAGTCGAGAGTGACGAGACTCGAAGTCGAGAGGCACTGGAACGATGGAAGGGGAAAGTTCATCGAATTGTTTGATTGTGGCTCTGACAGATACATTTGAAACTATGGTGGATATTCGAGGCCCGAGTCGCGGTGATGGGTACGTACTATATTTTTAGTTATACAGTCAAGTCACCTTGTGAGACGTGCCATTGCGTAGAGTACAGGGGGCCAATTGTCGTGGTAAATAGCAATTATAGGACGGGTTCATTGATTACTTTGATAGGAAAATTGTTTCTGAACGCATGTAATTACATACTAATTCTACTTGACTGGACTTAATATATTATAAAGATTAAATGACCCTCTAGAGAAGAAATAAAATAATATACCTGATCGGACTATTATTAATTAAAATACAAAATGCGCAAGAGAAGGAATATCTTTACAAATAATACAGAATCAAATCCTCCATTTTAGAAGAAACCTATGATAAGAGCCCGCATTTGGAGGCCAGCACTAATATTGCGATGCATAAAGGTTATGCATTGAATTTTCTATACACACCCGTTATTCGTAAACATAAATAAACACTTAAGGTACATCATAATTTGAATGACGTGATCTCCAATAAGCCAGTGCAGATTGAACTTCACCACGTGATGTACTGAATAAATGAAGATTTGATGAACATGGTTGTTCCGCGGTACAAGTATCACAGTCGTGAAGTTACATAGCCAACAAGTAAAACAGGTCAGCATTTGTTTTTCAATGGTTGGCTTCTGCGTTTTAGAAACGTTGCAATATCATTTAAAGTTATTTATGAAGGACGTATATGATTTTTTATACATAAACAATTAATCGGCACCGCCTAATCACTATCTCAGTCCTGGATTCTCACTTCGAGCTCACAGAGGATATGGGAAATTCATTGTAAGTGTGTAAATTTGTGTTTTCAGTACATTGTATTGTTGACTAGAACTCCACCTTCGTGCCGGTGCGAGTCGTATCAATTTTAAACTTACCCCATGGACTCCTGCAGTCCTGATACGGTGATGTTGCAACTAGCCGCGTATTCAAAACTGGTTAATCGCCGACACTAGAGCGAGCCGGTTTGATTTATTACATTTTTATACCGGCAGCAGAAAATGGAAATACTGAGAGAGAGTACATAAATATTTTATTGCCTTCGGCGGTTCCAAATCGATTTTTGTTCTGCTAACATTTCTCCCCCCAAAAAAAAAGCAGGAGGAAGGCTCCTATACTCTAATCCCTATACGACTAAATTTACCCTTCTCCACTAAGCCAGTTCATACCAAACCAGATATATTTGTTTCCAAGAAAAAAAACAAACTGGGTTTGGGTCCCAAAACCCTCACATTAATTCGGGCTTATATTTACCAAATTCAGTAGTAAGATTTTAGTAGAGTATAGAGCCAAATCAGCAAAAAAAAAAATGATATTAATAAAAAAACATCTGGGGGGGGGGTTTTCAAACAAACCAAAAAACAAAACAATCAAACAATCCTTATTTTATGTTTTGCAAATTTACCTATTTTTAATTAAAAAACGAATATCTAGAAGAGAAGAAGGCTACATATGATTTCTTTATATAAGAAATATATATAAAATACGTCACAGTTCGTTTTTGTTTTTTTTTTTTGTTCGGAAATAATCCCCAAAACAAAACAAAAAAAGATGAATGGGCATTGGGCAGACCCCCGTTTCCTCTCTGGTTGCCCACTTTTCCGTTGCGAGTTTTTCGCACCATGTGCACGCTGATGGGCGCTGGCCGACAATCGGGGACAATCCATATATTTAATGGGGCAAGAAACCTACCAGCATCGGGGTATGTATCTTCAGAAATTTTGTACCACTCACAACTTTACTCCTAAAAAATCTTTGCATGTAATGATTGGCTAAATCTTCTCAAGTGCCGAAGGTAGTTGTAGCGTCATACCTTTTTCATTGAACAACTTTAAATAAAACTTTTTCTTATTTGTCTATGGATCAATATCATTTGCTTTAAAAAATAGGCTAATCACGGGGCCGTGGGGTCGCACCACCATAAAAATGTGAGCCAAATGCACTTTAATATATGCAGCCATTTATATTTGTAGCAATATCGACAATGCAATATACACACTGTTCAAGTTTTCAACTGTTGTATTACCGATCAATCGATTATACCTGATATGCATCTGACAATGCCAATCGATAATATTTTAGCAAAATATGTATATAGTAAAAGTTGATACCATGTACAAATGTATATTTAAAAACAGTTAGTTGATCGTACTTGCACTTGCACTAAGTATTGTTAGTGATGGTGATTCAAAGCAATAATGATGGGGTTGCCTATGTGCAGGAATGTTTGTCAGACGCCTCAGTAAGGCATGTTTCTATATCAAACACAGCATCTCAAAGCAATACAGACGCAGCCGTATTTTCATACGAGTATCCTTCTGACGATGTCACAGTTGCGAAATCTAGTATACACAATGATACAAAATGCATAAAGGTGGATAGGCAAGGAGACACAGAAGTTTACGCAAAGGTAGACACGTCTGTCGATAGTGATTCGTCAACAACATCATCCGTGAGTGCACGGGTGCGCGCTAGAGCTAAGAAAGTATCAAGGCAAATACGGCTTAAGATGCGCAATGGTTTAGATTTGAATTATAGAAAGTTTTTGCTGGGGACTATATCGGTTATTCTGTTCTGCTTGTCTGCTATGTACATACGAGAGTACGATGTTGTCGGTACATTTTTAATTTGGGTGGAGACAGCGCCAGTTTGGACAGCGACGCTGGCGTTTTCAGCTTTATACTTCTTTGTGGCTTTGCCCATTGGGTTTGGCTACTTAATACTTAATCTTGGTGCAGGATATCTGTACGGATTGTGGGTGGGCATGCTTGTCACAGTCATATCTTCGTCAGTAGGAACCTTCTTAGCAGTCGTCAGTTGCCGCTTTTTCCTTCACGACTGGGTACATTCAAAAATAGAAAGTTACCCAACCATGGGAGCGCTGTTGCGAGTGGTCAATGGGCCTTCGAGGGTACGCGTTATAATTCTATCGCGTCTGTCACCCTTTCCTTACGGCTTACAGAATGCTGTTTTCTCCTTATGTAACGTCGGGATGGTGAAATTCTCGTTAATCTCTTTTCTAGCTTGCATACCCATGCAATTTCTCAATACGTGGATGGGTACAAAGCTCAAAAGCATTCAAGACGTGCTTGCTGGAGGTGGCTCAATGGATGCTATGACATACGCATTGTTTGTTGGACAACTAGTTGTGGGTGCTCTTCTCTTAGCGGGCGTTTTGTATGCAACCAAAATCGAATTCCATAAAATGGTTGGAGAAGAGTCTGGGGGCATTGACTTGGAGTGTGGGTCTGGTGATCATACGCCTACACACGTGAGCTATCAGCCAGTAGCATCCGAATCAGATTCAGATGACGAAATGGAAGACACCGCATCCATCATCTCAGAAGAGTTATGAACAGTCAAGCACCAATATGATAACAAAATCACAAAACTACAATTTTAAAGAACAGCTGGCTTTATGCCGGTCGCATCAGAGAAGCTATTTAAACGAATCCAGCGAAGTCTCGTTGTGAGAGGAATACCTCGGAATAAATAAATATAGTATTATTATTCGAGCTCGTAGTCACTAGTATATAAGGTTATACCGGTGTTGTGCAGACACTGTCACCACCCAATACAGATAAGTAAATAGGCAACAGGAAGCATAATTTATAACCAGTCGTAAGTTTTATATACAGCATCGCATTATCGGACGTTTATATTTATTCTAGCTAACATGTCATAAAGACCTAGCACAGGGGTTGCATGTCCGTAGGTTTGGAGTCAAAGCGTGCGATGCACTATGTCGTTCACAGACAAGCTGTAAATATTTCTCATGTACTCAGCATATATGCGAAGCTGACAACCAACATGAAGGCGATGATTGAGCCTAATTAAAGTTCCGTCATCTAGAGCTGTGAAGCATACCTCGCTTAGTTTATCTCGCGATGGATTCACATGCTAAAGCTGACCTTAGATGTGATAGGCGTTAGTCAGTGATACCAAAAGCGACCCCATCTATTATGGGTAGGTTGTTGTATGAATGCGCGCAGAATTACTCTGTGTCATAAATCCCGATGCCATTTCTGTCGGTCGCCCTCAGTGCATCAATCACGTCAATCTGAGGCCAGGTTCGGGATGAGATACCGAAGAAGATAGGAAAAGCTTGAACGTCGCAGCGATGTAACTCAACTCCTTGATCTAAGAGACAGGCTAGAAAAGAACTAGCAAGCCTACATCTGGAATATATCCCGGCGTCGCATTTCTGGTCTACTGTAAAATAGGGGATACAAAGTGAAATCTCCCACCTCTATAAGCCACGTTTCGGCGAATAGCACATCCAGTGGAAGGGGTTGGGTCGTTTGAAAATGTTCTCTGCTTCCAGATGCCTCCTAGAACAAGAGTGTATATGACAAGAAATAACATATTCATAAACTGCTCTGAATTTGTTATGACTCTGTGGTTAGAAGCTTCAGTGGAAGACAATCAGCTGCTATCACGCCGGCTCTTGAGCACACGGCTTACTAACAGTGATATTACCAACATAGCTACAGAACCTGCCAAAGCTCGCCAATCCAGTTTCGGGAGGTGACCATGCACCACAAACTGTTTCATCTCTTCAGGCGTACTACTCGCACCCAGCAGAATGAAAGACAGGGCTCCAGGAAGAATCCCTATTTGAAGGACAGCAATGATACCATGAGTAACATGCGACACGCACAAGGTCATTGTGTCGGATATAGCTCATGAAATGAACTACAAAGACGTTGCACCGCAATTTACAAATAAGATGACCCGCAAGGGCGTGTATAATATACGTATACTTAGGTTCCTTTAATCGGTGGTGGTGAATTGTTGATATTGAAATGATTACGATAGGCTTGCATTGACATTCTGTCTGAGAGATACGTCAATATTGCAAATTCATAACTTTTTGCTGCGTCAAATGCGAGAGGACATTCATTATTACAACTCATACCTATCGCCGTAGCCAAGATAAACGGCCACAGGCCCACACGGAGAAACCCGGCCAAATACGACACCAGATCAAAAGGCAGAAAAATCAAACGCATGATCAGCACAGTCTCAAAAGCATTCTGTCGTAATCGATGTGTGTATTTGTGTATGGTGCTTGTTGACGAATCACCCCCTCCAGCAAGTAGAAAGGAGTCATTGTCTGCCGAATTATCAGCGTCTTGACCCGATTGGTTTGAACTTTCCGAAACAACGTCGTGTGAACGTGCGCCGTTGTCGAACAGATCATTCCCGAAATACGACCCGATATAGTACGCGCAGGTTGCTGATAAATTGGCACCGATTAAGACAAGTAACAGACCTGAAGTAAATAGCAATGGTGGATGAATGAATTTGGGCCGAGACAAAGTTCTTATTGCAATCGACGACTATCGCCACTGTATTGATGCGTGAGTACAGACCAAGCACACGTGCTCCCAACACTTTTGTACCCTGTTTATCACAACCGTAGCATATTGGGAACAATAATATCTTTAGAGTGAAGGTCGCACACCATAAAAATATGTATCAAAGTCATGTCCCTGATTGTAGACTTGCTGGACAGACTGGCGTCGCAGAGCTCGGTCGTAACTCATATTAGACAATACGTAAACATATATGTAAAGCCAATTTCTTACACAGATATGCTTACACATCAGAAAACGAGATTGTTATTGAGCGGGATACAGTACTAAGAAGGGAAATAATTGCTTCGTGACAAACTGCAAACTACTTGCTGACTTACTAAATCATTCCTATACTCTCAGTATCTGGTACGCTTACAAACGACCTAATAAATTTAAAGCACTACAAGATAGCACACCATGATGAAGAAGAAATTGATATTTACAATTGTTCCAAAAACGACTGTGATGTGCCGTAAGTACATACCCTTCCAGGCACCAAATAGGAAGCCTCCAAGTATTGTAAGGGCAGTTCCCGGAATAAACAGAATCAGCCGCGCCACATACAGTACAACAAAAACTAGCGACCCCCACTTGCTTGCGCCTACGGTTGTGAGTGAATTGAAAATGAGCTCACCCACACTTTGGTCTGACTTTCTAATGGCGACGAAGAAGGCTATGATTATAACAACCCACACAGATGCTGCAAACAGCTTGAGTTTGTGATGGATTATCCAATCCAGTATGCTACGCGTTCTTGATTTGTGTGTCTGTACAGATCCAAAACTCAATCGACGTGAGGCACGATCGAATGTGTGTGTACCGTTGTGACCCTCGGGTGTATCTATCGGTGTTTCTTCTTCCAACATAATGAATGTGTGATGTCTGGTCTTAGCTAAAATGTGCCTTTGATTAGTGTCCGTCTCGAATATATATTATAAATGCACTATTGGATACAGGCGCATAAACTATAGCATCAGTTGACTATAGAACATATCTTTGTGTCGACCGCAATGGCACAGGGCTGTAAACTAATATAACAACATAGCACTATACAATAGATATATATATATTTTAAAATCTGCCACAGAAAAGCCAAACTATTATTGGTTAGTGATGGCTTCACACGTCGATCGAAAAAGATAGTGTATATTTTGATTTTACAATGCCGTGACTGCAGTCGGCAGTGAACGAGTGCCGAGTATTTGGGTGCGCCTTCTGTGAAAGTGTTGTTTAGCCCTCCCCAGTCCCAAAGACCCCATACGTATCATTACTTGCGTGTCGTTTGGGCTTGAGGCCAGCTGCCAGCGGCGATACTTATTTTGAATGAAACTATGTGTATATACAGACCAACTAAATTATGAGGAAAACGTATACCCACAGGTATGCGTCCACAGTAGCCTGGGGTGTTCGACATCAGGTACGGCGTGTTTTTAGAGATCCCAACGCGTGTAACTTGCGCACTAATAGTACACTCGCACAGTCTGTACAAGATGTCAGCAGCTTCTTCAGGCGGAAGGTTGGCCCTCATATACGAATCGATCAGGACCTACTGTCACGTGATGTGTACAAGTCGGAAAAGTCTCTACCACAACTAGCCTTGCTATCACTATCTATGAGGAAGGCAATTCAGGAGCGTAATTGTACACGCCTTAAGATTTGCGTAGAAACTGGGGATATAGAGGCAGCTTCAGCAATCCTGCAGCATCTAATAGATCTCAGACTCAATTTCGGGACACCCACATTGTCAGCGATGAAACAGGCCACGGATCTGGGTGCCAGTGCGCATATCGGACCGAAACATCTAGAAAGGTTGACATATACTGACACACAGCCGAGAGATGGTTCTAATGTCACAGCTGGAATGGTAGGTGCGCAACACGATAGTCGGTATACTGCGGTTGCTCACAAGAACCATGTCGTCGATGCTTGGAAAGCGTTGGAACAGACTCTGGATCCCCACTCAGGAGAAGTAAGACAACATCCTAACATAGTTCAGAAAACGAATACGATTGCACCTGTGCAGTCCATAGGCCTAACTGGGGGTCTCCGTGCGCGTGCTAACGGGCAGGAACTGACAGCTTATAACGAATACCTGATACACGCCATCAGGCGACAAGAGCGGGATATGGTGCTGGCGTTATTGATAGTTATGCGATTAGTGAAGGTGGCGTACGACTTCACCACACATGAACACATCCGCACCGCTTGTACTAGCGGACTGTTAGGCAGTGCCCCGGACGCGGATGCGCGTGTGCCAGAGACCTACACATACCACACTGATGCGCATGTGGATGGTGGCGAATGTTTGTCAGACACAACGCACGTGTTGGTGGCGCACGCTCTGAAATGGGATCACAGTGCTGTGACGCACGATCTAAACCCTAAAACCCCGATCTCCAATCTCTGGGGTTGGCTGGGTGCGGGTGCTTTTGGTGCAGGGCGGGTTGGTAAGGCCACTAGTGGCGGCGACAAGTGTGTTTATATCCCCAGTAATACGCTTCTTCCAGAGCTGGGGACACTCCTGCGAGCACGAATGGAGTACGTTTCAATCACAGAGTCTAATACAAAGAATAATGGGGAGACGAAAGGCGTCGATAGCATACTGGTAGAAGCCATACCGGATGCCAACCGGGTGTATGTTAGTACAGAGGCTCTAGCTAAGGCTGCTCGGTGTGGTGTTACGGCACTACGCGATAGGTACGAGTCTGTTATCAGATCCTTTATGCTCTCCCGGAGTGAGTTAAAAGGGGCCGTGTTGGCCAAGGCAGTGAACCGCGCGTGCGCTCTCGATACCCTCTCCTTAGAGCATGACACCACCCCCACTAAGAATGCACAGTTAAAGGCGGCCCGAATCGCGCGAGATAACTTTGATAAAGCGTATGATGGTATGATTGGGGGCGCAAGGCATGTTCTCCTAGCCACGCTGGAGATGGGGTTGAAGAAGCGTAGTAAGGACATCGTATTGGGGTCGTTGCTGAGACTGATACCCACCAACTCGGACTATTCTTCGCACGCTTACAAAGCACAGTTGGTCCATCTCGTGCATACTCCGGAGCGCATGGACTTGCTCGAGCCTCACCTCACCACTCTGCAAGCTAGTGATATGATGGCAAACGAGAACGCAAGTCTCGCTGAGAGATTGCGTAGCATACATGCGCGAGCCGTAGACGAGAGCATGCGCCACCCAATAGATAGCGAACTCTACAATCTCGACCAGCGCACCCAGAAAACTATCTGTGCAGAGGAGCCTTTGGTAGCTAAGCAACTGAAACAGAGAACACTACGCGGCCAACTATGGAAAGACTTTGTTCGCAATGTAGATATTGCCAATGCGAGACCGTCGGTGAGGGTATCAGATACGTATGAGGAGCCTCATGAGACAGACAAGTCCATTGTCAGCCATTTCAAAGCGATGCATAGTGGTAGTTTGGGCAAATGGCTTGCAGCGAAATTGAATCTGTGGGCCCCAACTGTGGGTGGCGCTGTATATCCGAACACTGGTGATAACACCGCAGGGGAGAGCGGAAGTGTGCGCGATGTAGTGACCCGGCATGCATGGGCGAGGAAGCAAGTGGCACACGAGTGCGAAACCCTGCTGAAGCGTTGCTTGCGCTTAATGGACGTGGATGGGGCGCTGACGGTGGCGCATCATATTGCGGTGAACAAACTGTGGGTTTCAGACGAGATGAAGGATTATATAGAAACCGCTAGGACCAAGCGGATGCTGAACTATCATGGGAGACTCCAACGTGAGGTGGACGTAAGGAAGGGTAAGGGGCGAGTGAGTGAGCGGGAAATCGTGCTATACAACCACATGATCGAGTCTGCTACTATTGTTAGTGCGAAATGGTGGTGGGAGAGGTTTCCAGAGCAACGGAGGCTAGATTTACATGGACATACTCGGCTTATGTGTAATGTTGCCTTCGCCAAGCTGTTGAATACTATGTTAAGTATGTATAATGCGCACGTTCTCGAACACACTCGGAGGTATAAGGCCACTACTCCGTGCATCTGTGTGCCCGACATCGCAGTAGGCGCAGAGGCTCACTCGTTGCTTGCCAATGACAGCAGCCTCGAGGCATTTTCTACCACAATCACGGGTGAGAGTGCGCCGCCATTTAACTGTAGAGTGGTGCTGATCACAGGTAAAGGTAGTAATAGCAGAGAGGGTCCTGTGCTCCGGCCCAATTTGATGAGACTGGCCTTGCAACTGAACCCTCCAATCAAAATGGTGGAGCTCAGCAGCGCGAGTGTGGAGCTGGTGGCCGACGATGTGCGCCAATGGCTGATAAGGAATGCTGGGTGAGCATAAGTACAGTACAAGGGAGTCTGAGTATGCCAACGCCAGGTATAGCATGTAACTTGGCATGGGAAAGTACAGAATATAAGTTAGATATATAGAGCAAGTGTACGGCATAGACAGTTGGGCTTGTATTCTGCGATCTCGTATTGCTCGGGTGATCTGACCTGAATTTCAGGGAACCTCGTTTATTCAATTCATTGGCGTCGTTGGCCTTTGACACCTGTGCAGCCGACTGTGGCCAGTTATATAAATGTCAAGGCAGGCATAGAACCCCCAAGGATATCTCGGAATTACCGTTGTATGTAACTTGCTTGCATTCAGTTCTTCACAGGTGTGTGTCTGGGCGCTCATGAAGACACGGAACTGTTCACGTACAACAACCAAGAAACATTTACAGACACAAGGATGTCGATTCTTCTGGTCACCCAGTCTATTGTAATAATTGGGGACCTTTGGGATTATAACCTACACTCGTGTTACTTACTAAAAGCGTTTGTGAGTAATGCAAACCCCGTAAGGACTCGTGTAGGATATGAGGTTTTTGACAATATATCTATCGTTAGGTCTAACAATAGAAATTTGCGTCAGAGCATCAACAAACTCACAAGATAGCTGAAAGCGAACAGTATCAATGAACGGCCCATCTGCTGAAATGTGTTCCAAAATGGTAGGTATAAAGTATATTTCTCGTCTCAACTCAGTTCCCGCTGACAAGGGTTTATATAAAAGTACGAGAATGTATACTGTCCCTCTGGAGAGAGAGAGAGAAAATGGAGAAATCATGCCGTCCCAGGGGTATCAATGGTTATAGAGAGAGGCCGTCCTCCAGAGGGTCATGAATACATTATTGTTCTCTGAGCTTTCTGACCCAATATCACGCCGAAGACATTCAATAGTAAAGTACGGTAATGCTGTCGGTACAATGCCACCATTACTCAAGAAGCGAAGCCTCGCAGTATGTGGGATTAATATTTGTGTGAACATATCCATGTTTAATTTAGGAGGCTATGGTATGTAGGATTAATATTTGTGTGAATTTATCCCTGTTAAATTTAGGAGGCTATGGTATGTAGAATTATTATTCGTGCGAGTATATCCTTGTTTGATTTAGGAGACTATGACATGTAGGAATATTTGTGTGAGTATTTCCTTCTTTAATTTAGGAGGCCAAGGTGTGCGGTGGGTGGACGTATATTAACTCGTGAGTATATTGTCACAAGTATGTTGTCACAAGTATATTATCACAAGAATATTCTCGGGAGTATATTGTCACAAGTAGATTGTCACGAGTATATAGTCACAAGTATATTCTCGCGAGTATATTGTTACAATAATATTGTCACAAGTGTATTATAGCAAGTCTATTCTCGTGAGTATATTGTCACAAGTGTATTCTCGTGAGTATATTGTCACAAGTATACTGTAACAAGTATATTCTCGTGAGTATATTGTTACAAGAATATTGTCACAAGTAAATTATCACAAGTATAATCTCACAAGTATAATCTCGTGAGTATATTCTCACAAGTATATTCTGGCAAGTATATTCTCACAGGTATATTCTCGTGAGAATATTTTGGCAAGTATATTATTTTAAGTATATTGTCACAAGTATATTCTCACGAGTATATTGTCACAAGTATATTCTCACAAGTATATTCTCGCGAGTATATTCTCACAAGTATATCCTCGTGGGTATATTCTGCCAAGTATATTTTGGTAAGTATATTGTCAGAAGTATATTCTCATGAGTATATTGTCAAAAGTATATTCTCACAAGAAAATTCTCGCGAGTACATTCTCACAAGTATATTTTGGCAGGTATATTCTCAGAAGTATATCCTTGGGAGTATATTCTGGCAAGTATATTCTTGTAAGTATAATGTAAGAAGTATATTCTCAAGAGTATATTGTCACAAGTATATTCTCACAAGTATATTCTCGCGAGTACATTCACACAAGTATATTCTGGCAAGTATATTCTCACAAGTATATTCTCGCGAGTACATTCACGCATGTATATTCTGGCAAGTATATTCTCACAAGTATATTCTCGTTAGTATATTCTGGCAAGTATATTCTCGTAAGTATATTGTCACAAGTATATTCACATATGTATATTCTCACAAGTATATTCTCACAAGTATATTCTCGCGAGAATATTCTCACAAGTATATTCTGGCAAGTAGATTCTCACAAGTATACTCTAGTGAGTATATTCTGGAAAGTATATTTTTGTAAGTATATTTTCACAAGTATATTCTCGTGAGTATATTGTTAAAAGAATATTATCACAAGTGTATACTCACAAGTATATTCTCGCGAGTATAATCTCACAAGTATATTCTGGCAGGTATATTTTCACAAGTATATCCTCGTGATTATATTCTGGCAAGTATATTCTTGTAAGTATATTGTCACATGTATATTCTCGTGAGTATAATCTGGCAAGTATATTCTTGTAAGTATATTGTCACAAGAACATTTTTACAAGTATATTCTCGCGAGTATATTCTCGCAAATATATCCTGGCAAGTATGTTCTCACAAGTGTATTCTCGCGAGAATATTCTGGCAAATATATTCTTGTAAGTATATTGTCAGAAGTATATTCTCATGACTATATTGTCACAAGTATATTCTCACAAGTATATTCTCGCGAGTACATTCACACAAGTATATTCTGGCAAGTATATTCTCACATGTATATTCTCGTGAGTATATGCTGGCAAGTAAATTCTTGTAAGTATAGTGTCACATGTATATTCGTATATTCTGGCAAGTATATTCTTGTAAGTATATTGTCACAAGCATATTTTCACAAGTATATTCTCGCGAGTATATTCTGGCAAGTATATTCTCACAAGTATATCCATGTGAGTATATTCTGGCAAGTATATTCTTATAAGTATATTGTCACACCTATATTCTCGCAAGTATATTCTCACACGTATATTCTCGCAAGTATATTCTCACAAGTATATTCTCGCGAGTATATTCTCACAAGTATATTCTGGTAAGAATATTCTCACAAGTATATTCTCACCCGTATATTTTAGTGAGTATATTATGGCAAGTATATTCTCACAAGTATATTCTCGTGAGTATATTCTGGCAAGTATATTCTTGTAAGTATATTGTCACAAGTATATTCTCGATAGTATTTTGTTACAAGAATATTGTCACAAGTGTATTATAGCATGCCTGTTCTCGTGAGTATATTGTCACAAGTATATTGTCACAAGTATATTGTAACAAGTATATTCTCGCAAGTATATTCTCGATAGTATATTCTCACAAGTATATTCTCGTGAGTATATTGTAACAAGTATATTGTCACAAGTATATTCTCGTGAATATATTGTTACAAGAATATTGTTACAAGTGTATTGTCACAAATATATTCTCACAAGTATTTTCTCGCGAATATATTCTCGCGAGTATATTAAAGCAAGTATATCCTGGCAAGTATGTTCTCACAAGTACATTCTTGCGAGTATATTCTGGCTAATATATTCTTGTAAGTATATTGTCAGAAGTATATTCTAATGAGTATATTGTCACAAGTATATTTTCACAAGTATATTCTCGCGAGTACATTCACACAAGTATATTCTGGCAAGTATATTCTCACATGTATTTTCTCGTGAGTATATGCTGGCAAGTAAATTCTTGCAAGTTT